CCTCTTCTTCTCTCGAGCTGGGCCTTGCCCTCTCAGGACCCCGGTTCTCAAGGCACTCTTCTCTCTATCGTAGTTGGGCTGGCGCCGGGTTCCCCTGCACCCTCGTCTTCCTCCCTATAACGGCCCCTCATAAATCAACCCCCCCTCTTCCCGTGCCCAGTGGCCACGTCGCCGTATCCCCCGAGGCTGTGGCCCTTGTCGTCGCCCGCGATGCCCTTGGACCCGCTGCACTTCGAGCGCAATCCCTACTCGTCCGTTTCGCTGACTCGCGCGCGGTTGGCGGCGCGCGTGCGCCAGTTGGAGGCCCGTGAGGAGGGGTGCCTGTGGAGCTTGCTGCGGGTGATGCTGCCGATGCGCGCCGATCGCCATGTCTTGAGGGTTGAGTCCGTTACTGTCCAGGTGCGTTGGTGGAAGGGGAGGGGTGGTGGGGTGAAGTGGGTTGGGGTTGTTGTTGGTGGTGGTGGGGGGTTGGTGGGGGTGGTGGTGTATTTGGAGGGGAGGCGGATGGTGATGGGTGATTGTGGTGGTGAGGAGGTCGTCATGGTGGTTGGTTGTTGAAGGGGGTTGTTGGTTTGATGGTTTGGTGGTGGTTGTTGCGTGATGGGATGGATGAGATGGAAAGTTGGGAGAAGATGGGAGAAAGGTGTGAGTTATGGGATGTGAGTGAGGTGAGGTCGGGAGATTACAAGGGTCGGGAATGGGACTATCCCGTAGGGAACAGGGGGTTGACGATCAGAGGCTCAAACCCGTGCGCCAGGGAGAAGTTCAACACAGTGCAAGGAGAAAAACGAATACTCTTCCATTCTTCGAAAGTCACACTGGAACTTCCCCGTTTGGTTCATTGAATCGATTTGACATAAGCGTTGTGGCATATCCAAGCCATTTACAGCTTCGGGCAACTCCTTTTGTCGGTCATAACGCAACCATCATGAGGATCACTTGAGTACTCTCCATAGCGACTTTCCCATCGCATACTGTGCTTCATCCCCCTGCTCATTGAGCTGGAGCTCTGACTGTCATTTTATCGAGCCCCACAAGGCTGAGAACAGCATCAAATCGAACCGCAGTTCATCGCATTTGTTTCGTCGGTTTAGTGTTTTTGTTTGCGAGTCTAAGGGGTTCCCGGGCATTCCTAAAAAACGATTTGCCTTTTGTCTACCGACTCGCTACGGACACGGGTACCATCTCAGTGGTCCTCGCCGCAAGCGGACAGCTCCAACAAACAAAGAGACGCCCTTTCTCAATCGAGTTCATTCTTTCATTTATTCATTCGCTCGTTCCCTCATTTGCTTCTTCATTCATTCATCCCGCTTATATTTACGGTACCCCCCTCATTCACGTAAATTGCACCATCTCATTCACTTTCCACTACCCGCCGTATTGTCCACATATCATCCAATATGTCGCGACCAACCAATCCCGATGAAATCGACCTCTTCGAAGATGATCTCTACAATAACTCCTCGAACAACGAGGAATCCAACAATGAGCTCGAAGTAGCCGAAGACACCACAATGGCCGAAACCCTAGGCTTCACCAGCTTCGGCGGCACCAGACCCATCGACGACCACGACGACAACAAGAGACGGCGCTTCAACCCGCACCTAGACAACGCCGTTATAGCCACGACCAACGAGGAGCCTCAGCTTACCGCATACCGCGCGCAGGCCCATCCAAACAAAAGACAGAAGCTCTCCGCCTCGCCCAGGGACGAAATCACCTACTCCGATTCGGACGACTACGCCAGCACCAACACCAACACCAACGCCGCCAACAACAACGGCACCCCCACTGGCGCACCATCCGGCCACCCCCCCGACTCTCATTACCCATCCCAGCAGCAACGCCCACCCACTGGCCCGCGCAGGGGAAACTACAGTCACCGCGGCGGCAACAGAGGTGGCGGAAATTGGGGCGGCGGAGGACGAGGTGGTGGCTACAACAGCAATTACAACAGCAGTTACAACAACAACTACAACAACAACAACCGGAACAACAACAACAGCAGCAACAGGGGCGGCGGCCCGGTCAACCCGCTGTGGTATGTCGAGTACTACGACCCAGCCAGCAACGAGAACCCCTGGGAGGGGATGGAGAAGTACAAGAGGCTGCCGCCGGTGGGGACGTGGCTGTCACGGGGCCGGAAGCGTGCAAGAGACGACGAGGTGAAGGACGGTGCTGAGGAGGCTGAGGGTGGTGATGGTGACGGTGCTGAAGGTGACGACGGTGCCGGTGTTGAGGGTGACGGTGCTGGTGAGGATGGTGTTGGCAATGCTGAAGAGTTTGATGCTGTGGATGATGTTGTTGGGGGGCAGGAGGTGGTGGAGGAGGGTGAGGGTGGAGAGGATGCGGAGGATCTGGTGGATTTTGACGATTTTGAGGATGTATAGGGTGTTTCTGCCGCGGCTGCCTTTGGCTGAGGACCTCGGTGTGTTAAGGGATCATGTTAGTGATAGTAGGACACAATGTATGAATATGCCATCTTCTCAGAATAAGAGAACAGCGCAGGGGAGTGCAAGGGCAGCCAGGGAGGCGTCACGTGACGGCTCAGGGGTTACTACACATGACAACCCTCGCAGCCCCCAGGTGGCTCGGTTGGGTTCGACCATGTCACCTGACGACCAGGACAGCCACAGGCCGGGCTGGAGGGGTTGGGCACAGTGTCGGGATAGGGCTGAGCCCTCGTTCTGGCGCGGAGAGGGCGGGGAGGACACTGTATTTGGCCGGGCCGGAATCCGATCACGGGGACGGTCACGCAGGAAGAGCAAGGAACACCAAAATCTACCGCGTTTTCACCTCCTACGGAGTAAACATCAACACAAGACTAAAACGCTAGGCATTAAAGAACACGTGAAATCCACCTGACCGGCCCCAGTACAGAGAGATCTCCACCCACCCATGTCATACAGCCCACCCAGCCTCCTCATGTAAGAGCAGAAGCTAGTCATCCCCGAAAAAGGAAAAGCCCACCCCCCCATCTCCTCCCCCAGCAAGCAGCGACAGTCAGCCAGCCCAGCCCGCCCTCGCCCTCTCACGTGGCCCCGGCTCGTCGGCAGCCGACCGCCCGCGCTCCAAGCTTGGTTCTGTGCTCCCAAGCAAGGCAAGGGCGCCACAGGGGAGTGGGCAGCCGGGAGGAGGTGGGGGAGGCGAGAGTCCACACATGCCCCTTCCCCTCCCCCACCCCCCCGGCCCTCTCTCCCACACAGCCGGGTACGCTAGCTGGCTAGCTAGCCCAGCCACGCCACACCTGCTGCAGCCCCGATCGTCCCGCCCGTCCCGCCCCGGGGTGTGCGTTAAGAGCGACAAGGGGGAGGAGGGGGGCGTACTCGCCGCAGGGCAAGTCAGTAGGTAGGTACCGGTACTTTTGGCCGCCCAGCCACCTTTTCATCCCCAGACACATAAGAAAGATAAGCCCAGAAAAAAAGAAACCCCAGCACCTAGGACAAAACCGAAACCCCTCTCCGTTCACGCCCCTCCTGTCCTGCCGTCTGCCCCCCGCCCAATCATAACCGTCGTAACAATCATGAAACACTCGCAGCCGCCGCCCCGATGCGCGCAGCTTGCGCACGAGAAGGGGGAGTGGAGAGCGCGGGCCGCGCCGTCGCGAGACCTGCGTCTCGAGCAGGGAGTGGGGGAAGGGGGGGTGTGAGATGTCAGAAAACGGGGCTGCCTGCAGCGGCAGATGCCGCAGCACAACACACCACACCACACCGCACCACACCACTGCCGCCACACACCCACGCCCACCGTTTCCTCGCAGAAACGGCAAGGCGGGAGATTCTGTGCAAGTAGCGTGTGATGCCATGCGCGCGGCTGAGATTTTGTTGTTGTTGTGCAGTGTGCAGCCTCGTTTTCCAACGTCGCCTTTCGCGCGAGGCTCTTCTTCACACCCCCTTCTCCCCTCTCCTCCCGTCCCCCCCTATCTCGCCGCCAGACGCAACACAACCCCCATCTGCTCGTTTGATCGGAAACAAATAGATGTAGGGCTCGCAAATGCGACCCCGTCCGTCCCCCGTCCGTCCCCCGTCCGTCTTTTGGAAATGAGGCTCAAAAAATAGAGACAACGCTAAATCAACCGCAACGCCGGGAAATGGAAGCCAAATAGCAACAAGGCCACTGAAGAGATTAGTACAGATCCGGCGACGGGTACCGCGCCCGCGCCTTTGCGTACTCCTTGGAGTGTTTTTTTGACGCCTTGGCCTTGAGAGATCTAGTCACAGTCGCGTTTATTAGCTCTCGTTTCCTGGATTGCAGGCGCAGGTTTGGATTTAAGCCCCCCGGATCAACCAAACTCAATTCCCCCAGGGGAAAACCATCACTGAGCGGATTTCTTTACTTACGCAACCTTCTTCTGCGTCCACTCGAGATCTTCGCGCACCTCGCGCGCATCCTCGAGTCCCTGCGCAAACCGCGCCCGCGACTTGGCCAGGCGCGCCTGCGCCTTCGCCTGGAGCTCAAGCAGCTCGCGGTGTTTGGCGTTCAGGTGGCCAGATCTGATTTTGCGAGTCAGCATCGGCTTTTTCTTATTTTTCTTGTTCCCATGCAATTCCGTTTGCCGGATCGCGGCAGCCGGGTGCGAGCGGAACGTGACAAACACACAAGAACTTGTGGTTTGCTCAGTTCGCTCGCTCGCCCGCTGCCCGATCACCCGCACGCTCGAAAAGAGCAAGCGAGTGAAATAGAGAGAAAAAAGTAGAGGGTAAAAACTCACGTCTGCGCCTGCTTGGCGGTGCACTTATCCAAAGCGAGCGGGTCAAAGGTAGCCGCAAACCGCTCCTGCATGTACTCGTTGAGGTCGACGCCGGCGGCAGAGCCGGCGCTGCTGTCGTACTCGCCCTGGCTGCTGCCGGCGTAGCTGGTGGTCACCGAATAGCTGTTGCCGTAGCCCGACGCCGAGCTGACAACGGAGGGATCTATTTCCTCGGGCGGCGACACCGAGTAGGTGCTCTCGCCGCTGGGATAGTAGCCGGTGGCGGGGTTCTGGTACTGCGGCTTGCTGGGGGGGATGGGCACGGCGCCGCTGGCGTAGTATTGGGGGGCGTACGTGGAAGTCATGGTGAAGAGTGGGCAAACGGGTAATGTCTAAGTAGGTTGAGGGGTGTGACGAGGTTTGTGGCCGGTGTAGGCTCAAGTAGAATGTGTTTGTTTGCGAAGATGGTGTCACTTGGGACAAGCTGACTTTGTTGTTCAGAGGCGGAAAGTATGCCTTGTGCTCTTGCGTGTGCTTCTTAGAGAAGGAAGAAAGTGAAGAGAAAGGAGAAAGAAGAACTGAGCTCGAACCCGTCAACGACGACCCATTTTATACCTCTCTGAAGACCCCCCGGCCCATGGAACGTCGCCATCACGAGTCTGAGGAGGATAAGGGCCGGTGACTCTATTCGTCAAGGACCTCCCTGACCCCGCTTGAAACCAGGGAGAGGGACGATGCCATGGAGATGAAGGTGACGAGGACGGGCCGGTCTTCATCGAACCACACCTCTGGTCCGTCTGCCCTTCACGGGGGGCAAACCAACCAGAAGAAGGGATGGCATGGTCGATGGGGTGATCCTGAGCAGTTGGCCGAGCCGGTAGCGCCGGATTGGCTTGGGGACAAGTTTCGATTGATCAGAGAAAGAAGTGATCAAAACAGGATGCATATGCCGGGGGGCGACTATCACCGTTTGTATTGGTGGAGCCAACCTGAAGGGGGGAACGGGACAGAGGATCTCATTTCTGGCAAGGCACTCCAACGAGCTCCTCAGTTCTAGGCTCCGGGGTCTAGGAAAGGAAGCAAAATACCAAGGGGCGAGAAGGAGTGAGGTGGGACTCAGGACAGGAGGCTCAACGGCCAAGGTCCGGAAGAGAGGGACCAGGGGGGTGTGAACGTAGCACTGCTAGCCGAGCGAGGGATGGAAGGCGAAGATACCTGAGCCATGAACAGGGGTTAGCCTTGCCAGAGACCAGGCCAAACGATGGGATGGGGGACGGGGACGGCATATGACAGGCTGGAGCCGCGGGTGGAGGTTTGGGAAAGACCGTTCGGCTCATCAAAAAGTCGGGAGGTCATGAGGTGTGTTGCCATGGAGTGGCCGGGAGCAGGTAAGGAGAAACGGTAGGCAGCATTCGCAGGAACGGCGAGCTGGAGGACGGAGACAACGAAGAGAACGAATCGGCGAGGGAGCACCAAGACGACGATTGATGGGATCGACGGCCCAACGAGGGTGCAGCAGACGGGGCACAGCAAACAGAGCTGGCGAACCGTCATGACGCTAAGCGGAATTGTAAAAATCGGCGTGGGATCCGGATTCCCAGAGCAGTCATCTCGTTGGCTCGGCAAGGGGAAATGGCGACGTCAAACAGATGGTTTGTGTGAAAGTCGGGTTAGGCAGAGATGCGTCAGGTCGGGCAATGTGTTGTCCAAATGCTGCAGGTGGGATTATTTTGGAGGGGTCTTACACAGGGAGACAGGGCAGCGCTACCATTCAGCACCCTGACCTTGCCTGGCCTGTGCGTCTTTCCTGAGTGGACGACGGCTGTCCTCGAAACCACCTTCACCGCGTGAGAGGGAAAGACGATGGCTGTGCCCTAATACGCAAAAGTAATTATTCGATTGGCCGGAGTGGATGGACCTAAAGGTCTTTTGAGCATCCACTCGGCGAAAGTCGGTAAATTGAACAAGTGGTGGCAGTACTGGCTGCTCACCGGCCGCAACAGCCTGGCATTGGGAAGAATATCCACGGCCCGGACCCACGAGTGAGGTGCGTTTTGATAAGCCCCCAGGCACAGATGTAGAGTGACTTGGGAGCCCATTACACGCCCTGCAGGGTCTGCCTCGGCGCCGGCTGCCTGCGGCCCACCCGGAATATGCATGTTTGAGACTCCTGTGCTCTTGTTCCGCCCTGCCGAGATAGACTGCAGAAAGGCCCCGGCGTTTAAAGCGACGGCAGCTGCTAAAGACGCCGTGGATGTTCCGAGCGTTACACTTGTATGTCCCCGACCAGCTGATGGACAGAGGACAAAAGCTCCTTTGATGGTCTCGGTAATGCGACTTGCGTGAGGTAACTGCATAGCAGTGTCAAGTTATGTACGTCAAAGGGGCGCCAGAAAACGTGGAGATCCACCCAGGCCGGCTGCAGAGTTTAAGACAATCCGGCTGAGTGAACCGTACACAACCGTCCCGGTGATCCGGCTTGGAATTGAAGCCGGCCCGTTGGCATGGAGCCGTTGATGATGGTTTCCCTCCCTTGTCCCATCGTCAACTTGTCCTGCTTAACGGGAGATGATTTCGGATGGACATGCCTCGACGCCCGCCCACTCAACGGCAGTCTTGGAAAGGAATTCTGCAGGCCAGGCTGCCCGGATAGGCTGACTCCCACGGGTTGGGAGGGCCGTGTGGCAACGGCGAGCCGATAGGCGGGGGAAGGGCATGACTTGCGGCCCATGCGAAGTAACGGAGCTAAGTGGTTTCGCCGTTCCAACAAGATCCCCAATGGATCGGACGGCCATCATTGGGCCACTGGGCAATAGAGCCGGAGCACTGGGGCCCGCCGGGATGGAAACTCAGGTTGGCTCGTCGAGACCTTTGCATGGCTGACAAGGAACGGCCGGCTTTGGCTCCCCTCGCTCTCGCGCTAAGGACCCCCAACCTGCAGGCGTGAGCATTGCGTCAGAGACGTCGACGGGAGTGACTCCCAGGACAACCAGCCGGCGTGGAGGCATTGAGACATTGAGGCATTGCTGAGGGCCGAACTGCGGGCAGAACTGAAGTGGTTAACAACTCGGCATCCGAACGGAGTGCGCAAGGGCGTGCGGGTTCGCCAGCGGGGGTGAGATGCAAGACCGGGTGAGCAACGAAGACAACGCATCAAGCCCACCTGCGGGCTGGGGGACGTTGCAGTTGCGGCATCCACCATGGAATGAGCCATGATCGCTGGGATCACGGGCTTCGAGAAGAAACGGGAGAGGCGACGGGGCGTGTGGGTTACCGCGAAATGTAACATAAGGGCTCGAGTGGAAACGGGAGATGCAGTCAAACCAGACTTGTGCTGCCGATTGATGACTGGGCACGATTCTATAGGACAGAGACGCCACAGCCGGGTCTCCAAGGCGCCTTCTGAGAGGTCCAGACGGAAAACGTACATGAACATACATGGCGGAGATTCGAGACGCAGAACGGGGAATATCTCACTGCTTTTGCAACGCAAGGACTGTCGACATGTTGTTTGGAGGCGCGATGTCCCGATTGTTTTGAGCGGGCTGGTTGTGTGGAATCTAGCAAGGCCAGCCGAGACACTCCCACAAGCCATCAGACACGGGCGATTTCGGACATTTCGGGGCATTTCGTGGTCGGCGACCTGTTTGTGTGCAAGGGGCAGGTGTTCGCGAAGGAGGATGCGGCTGGTGTTTTCGTGATACGTTGCTCTGCGAATCAAGACATGCTGAATGCGGTGAAAGGAACGGTTCGTAGGACAAGAAGAAGACGAATTATCGCGTCGGAATGGGAAAGAGGCACGTTTCCCACGCAGTAATTTTTCTTAATTTTCCCGCTGTTGAACAACCGCAACACAAACGACGGGAAGGAGCGAAAACAGCGCTGTGTTGCGGAAGGTGGGGTCCACTTTTACTTTTCGGTCTCGATACCCCTGTCAAATGGATTCCAGGTTCTTTTCCCTTCCTTTCCTGGCGATCTCCGCGTCCCAAACCCCGGCGCAGAGAGCAGATGCAAGACATTCGCACTTGCGTGGCAGCTGCAGAGCCAACGGACAGTCGGGCATTTAGTGTATGTCAGGCCCTTGTCGGCGAGCTCCTCCACCATGGGCCATATAAGTCCGTGCACCCACCTCCCGGTCAGGCCACCAACCGATCAAATTTTTCACTCCCCCTGATTCGACACCCTCTCTATTCCAAACCACCCAGTTCCACCAAAACAAGCTCAAATTCAGCTCCATTACTCTTATTCGAATTGTCTCTTCCATGGCCCCAGAAGATAACATCCAACAGGCAATCCAAGCCGTCAGGGATGGCCAATCCATCCGCAAAGCTAGCGAGGCATGGGGAGTTCCCTTTTCTACCCTCCGGGACCGAGTCGTCGCCAACGCCCAACCGAAGGGACAGTACGAAGCACAGGTGATGCAGAAGCTCAGCCCTGATCAAGAAAAACACTTGGCCGATTGGGTTCTTGCCCAGAAAGCTCTAGGGCTTCCGGTAAAGCATCGACAAATCGAGGTCTTTGCTAACCGTATCCTCCGTGCCTCTGGATCTGACCAGACTGTCGGTAAACACTGGCTTCAGAAGTTCATCAGAAGATATCCAGTTTTAAAGACGAAGAAAGATAGACGTATGGATATCAAACGGTTGGATGGAGCTAGTACTGATGTTATCAAGGCCTGGTTCCATTTCCTCGCGATCCCAGTCATCCAGACAATTGACCCGCAAGACCGTTGGAATATGGATGAAACAGGGATAATGGAAGGTCTGGGAACCAACGGCTTATGCGTTGGATCATCGGAGACAAAGGAAGCGTTGTCGAAACACCCCGAATCCCGGATCTGGACAACCATTATAGAGTGCATCTCAGCAACCGGAAAAGCTCTCCCACCGTTAGTCATCTTCAAGGGGAAAGACATCCAACAACAGTGGTTCCCTGATAACGGCAAAGACCTTGATCCATTACGCAACTGGCGGTTTTCGACGAGTCAGAATGGCTGGACATCTAATGATATTGCCCTCGAGTGGCTGACAAAGATCTTTTGTCCGACGACGGCAACATCGAAGAAGAGGCTCCTTATTGTTGATGGCCACGGTAGCCACGAGACTGACGACTTCATGTGGACCTGTTTTTCCAACAATATCTACCTCTTCTTACCTGGACATGCCTCCCACGTTCTACAGCCCCTCGACCTGTCGGTTTTCTCTCCGTTGAAGACCACTTACCGCCGTGGTATCAACGACCTCACTGTGATGACAGACTGTGTCCCCATTGGCAAGAGGCTCTTCTTACGGCGTTATGCGCAAGCCAGGAAGGATGCCATCAAAGAAAGGAATATCCGAAGTGGCTGGAAGGCATCAGGATTGTGGCCAGTCAACCTAGATAAACCTCTGATGAGCCGTCTACTGTTGAACCCAACCAACCAGCCAGTCAGTCAGCCAGCCAGTCAGTCGGCCGGCCAGTCAGCTATCCAGCCAGCCAGCCAGCCAGTCGTCGGCTAATCAAGACTCCAAACCGCAGCCAGGAGGTCCACAGATTGATATCAACAAATGTCCGTCTACGACGACTGCAAACAATAGACCCAGTGGCTAGGATTCTTTTCAAAAAGGTGGGCAAAAGCCTGGACAATACAGCCATCAAGGTAGCTAGTCAAGAACAGAAGATTCGGGCACTGGAAGCTGAGGTAGATAGACTAAGGCCGAGAAAAAGGAAGAAAGTCAGGATGGATCCCAACACCCGGTTTGCCCAGATTGAACAGATCATGCAAACTAAAAAAGCACTTGCGAAGCAGCTAGAACCCTCAGAGAAAGTAGATGGATATGTATTTGAAGATATGTGCCTGGAATGGTCAATTTTCGACCCTCCTGTAGATACTGAAAATGGGGAGGCAGATGGGGAAATTTGATCGGTTGGTGGCCTGACCGGGAGGTGGGTGCACGAACTTATCAGAACACCACAAGCGGACAAGTTGGGTAAGTTGAGTTGGGCAAATCAACTTGTCACAGGTATGTGCCCGAGACGAATGCCCCGCATGCTGTTCTCTTGACGCGGGGTAAGGCATTTCCGTTAGGTCTTGAGAGAGGGGACACGGAGACAGTGATGATGGAGGCGAAATGTGAAGGGAGAGAAAAGTGGTTTCTAGGTTGAGATAGCCTCGCAAGACCCATATAAGTATAGACCCTACCCGCTACAATGTATCCCCCAACCCAATCTTCACAACACGTTCCGGGATCCAAAACGCCGCCCATGCCATGCACCCGATAGACATACACAGATTCACCCACGCCGCCAACTCCCCTCCCCTCCGCTCCCAGCATGCATTACATCTCTCATCAACCAAACACCTTCAAAAACCCCCAAATCCCCACACCACTCAGAACGGGTATCGTCAGGTTATCATCCCACCCAAAGACATCCATCGCCTCGCTCGTCGCCGCCACCAGGCCGGACCACATACTCATGACGCCCAGGGCCAGCCCGCCCGTAATCGTCGCAGCGGCGGGCTCCAACCCGACCGCATCAGCCAGCACGCGGGGCAGGCTCAGGGCGCCGGTAAACATGAAGAGCTCGTCACCCGGGAAGGGCCCCTTAGTAGGAGCGAGCCATCCCCAAAAGAACACCGAGGTGCCCACGCCCACGACAAACGCGGCGAGCGAGCCCGCCAGCGACTTGCCGCGGCGGATGCGCGGGGTGTAGCGGCCGTAGAGGCGACCAAAGGTGCTGGCGGCGGTGTCGCACCAGCTCAGCAGCAGGGTGCCCATGACGGCGACGTCCTTGGGGAAGCAGTAGAGGGCGGCCCAGGCGCCGAGCAGGTAGAAGATGACGCCGTTGTAGCCGGCGAACTCGCTCTCGCGCATCAGGGCGCCCAGCACGCGCACGTAGACGCGGTTGAAGGGCGCGTAGTGGTGCCGCAGCACGTCGACCGCCGCGATGGGCACCAGCGCCCCCATCAGGTAGGGGCACACGGCGCGTGTCTGCGTCCCCGACAGGTACAGCCACACCACGAAGAAACCGATCGAGACGTGGAGCGCCTTGCGCGGCACCTCGTGCTTGTGCACAAAGGCCCGCCACCGCCGGTGGATGGGGATCAGGCCCAGCGGGCTCGGGCTGCGGCTGAAGTCGCGCCAGCTCCAACCGTAGTAGGTGGTGGTGGAGGTCGGCGGGGAGAGGTGGCCGTTTGTGTCGGCGGGTTTGGTGTGGCCGTTGGTGGATGCGGCGGCGGTGGTGGGCGGGGCGCCGTTGGTGGTGACCGAGGGTTTTCTTGTCGTGAGCCTGCGCAGCGTTCGGGTGTCGATGGGGCTGCGGCTCCGGCTCCGGGCTCTTTGTAAATCGGGGCTGTCATCCTCGTCTAGCTCCCAGGGGGCAGGCTGAGGAGTTGATGCAAGTCGCCTCCGAGCCGCTGACCGGGTTGTTGGGCCATTGTATAACGAGGATCCCTCGCCGTTCGCATCGAGTTCGGATCGTGTCGGGCTCGGAGAAATGACTCGTGGCGTGCCCGGGACGTTTCTCGTCCGTCGGGTAGACATGTTGGAGTTGCAGAGGAACGGAGGTAGGGCGGGCAGCGAGATGGTACCCGCTAGGACGCGGCGGATGCCGTAGAATCGTAGTGGTAAGAGAGCGGTCGCGCCGCTATTGTGCTTGTCTCTTCTTGATTGGCGTGTCCCCGGCGAGGGGCAGCTGAGAGCGCTAAACACGGAGTGGTGGTAAAGGAAGAAGTTCGAGATATTTAGGGCGATAGGATCCAGTGTGTTGAAGAGGTTGCGGGGGAGTTTGGAGACTCCACCGCATGGCTGGATCGAAGTGCTCGAAGCCCGGGTACCTGGTGCCAGCGGAGGTTTCGGCTACGCCGTTGGCAGACGGTCCTTATGTTATGGTTGGAGGGGGGAGGGACGGGTCGGGGCTTTGCGCACGGAAAGGCCGGGCTGTGGTGGGATGGGCTGGCTGGCTGTGGCAGAAATTTCGGCTGCGGCGGGCGGCCAACAAACCCCGTCTGGTCTCAGTGCTAGCTAGCCCTTGTAAGTTGCATGTGACACAGGCCCGAGGGAGCCAATGCGCAGTTGCGAAGAAAAAATGCCTCCCTAGGGAATCTTCCGCTGACAATACAAATGTTTTGAGAGGGCCTTGGAAGGTAGGGGAGTGAAAGGGCGAATGAGTTGTGCGGGCTCATACGGTCGAGCATCTTTCTCAGATCGATGTGATTGTCTGCTGTGAACCCGCTGAATCTGAAAGCACAATGACGCAAATCCCAGCGGCATGGGACACGCGACCAACCAACCCCATGATCGATTTTGATCTCTTACAACGATAATCATTCCCTAATCAGTGGAAACGATGTGATCACACCTATCCAAAGCGTTATTCAGCTATTTCACACAAGCATAAAGAGCGCACTAATTGACAGACAACAACGGACAGGTCCTCGGTTTTCGAGGTCAGCCGAATCCCGGCGACAAGTGTCCGGAGGCCTGCGTTTACGCCATGGGGCCCGGGCGTTTTTGTCAGGTAGCGGACCAAGGTTCTTCCGTGCCGAATTGAGTGGAGCCCACTGGGGGTGTTCGGAGAGTCGGAGTGAAACACACCCGATGCCGTCAGAAACAACTGTCATCCGACAGAAGCTTCGGTTTCATTCTGCTTGGAGTCTACTTCTGTCGGGAAAGGATAACGATTCAAGTTATTCAGATGATCGAAGACCAAAGAAGAGTGATTTTAGCAGGTACCGATTTATTCGTCGTTGTTTTGGCTCAGAGTTAGGCAAAGAAAACGGCTAAACCCTCGGATCACGATTGACGGACATAACAACCCGAAAGGTGGTGCTCAGCCCACAACCATCATCAAACACACGACACTCAGCACAAACCAGCAAGCTCAAAAACGCTTCGCATCCTAACTGCTCAAGCTATTTTACCCAAAAAAAAAAAAAAAATACAGTCATTATTCGTCACAATTTCCGCCCGCAGCAGCAGCCCGAACGACTCCTTTAAAACAGCTTGCCGGCCATGTTGATGGCAACACTCTTGTATTCGGTGTAGTTGTTCAGCGCCAACTCGCCGAGCTCACGACCGATGCCGGAAGACTTGAAGCCGCCGAATGGCAGGGCGTGGTTGAGCATGTTGTGGCCTGGGGTGTTAAGTTTGGTTAGCGGGTGAACAACATACCGGGATGGTGGTTGGTGATGGGCAGGTTGTGATGGGAACGGCTGGTGGTACTTGGGGTGATAGTTGGGTGATATTGGGGGCATGATGATGGTTTGGGCCGTTGGGGGCATGTGTGGGACGGGAACTTACAGTTGACCCAGACGGTACCAGCCTTGATCGCATTGCTCACACGGATGGCCGTGTTGAGGTCCTTGGTGTGGACCGACGCGGCCAGGCCGTACGCGGTGTCGTTGCCGAGCCGGATGGCGTCCTCCTCGGTCGAGAACTTGGCGATGGCGCACACGGGGCCAAAGATCTCTTCCTGCATGATCTTCATGTCCTGCGACACATCGGAAAAGATGGTCGGCTGGATGAAGTAGCCCTTGTCGCCGTGGCGCTCGCCGCCCGTCACCACGGTGGCACCCTGCTCCTTGCCGGACTGGATGTAGCCCATGATGCGGTCGTATTGCAGTTGGCTGACCTGCGGCCCCTGGAAGGTCTCCGGGTGGAACGGGTCACCCACCTTGTTCTGCAGGGCGCGCGCCTTGAAGGCCTCAATGAACTTGTCGTAGATGCCCTCCTGCACGTAGATGCGGGACCCGGCGCAGCAGCACTGGCCGTGGTTGTAGTAGATCCCGAAGTTGACCCAGCTGATGGCTTCCTCAATGTCGGCGTCGTTGAAGATGATGTTGGGCGACTTGCCGCCGAGCTCGAGGGTCACCTTCTTCAGGTTCGACGACGCCGCCGCCTTCATGATGGTGCGCCCGATCAGGGTCGAGCCGGTGAAGGCGATCTTGTCGACGTCCATGTGCGACGAGAGGGCGGCGCCGGCGGTCTTGCCGAAACCCGAGATGATGTTGAGGACGCCGGGGGGGAAACCAGCCTCCTTCACCAGCGAGGCGAAAACCAGACCGGAAAGGGGTGTCTGCTCAGCGGTTTTGAGGACGACAGTGTTGCCGGTGGCCAGCGCAGGGCCGATCTTCCACGCCAGCATGAGCAGCGGGAAGTTCCAGGGGATGATTTGACCGCAAACACCAATCTGAGACCACTTAGTTAGCTCACATCGTACAGCTAGCTGCGTCTTCCGACCGACTGGAACGTACGGGCTCCCGCCTTGTGTAGTGGAACATGTCCGGGTTGATATCAATCGTCCTGCCCTCGATCTTGTCGGCCCAGCCGCCATAGTAGCGGATGCAACCGATCACGGCGCCAACATCGCCACGAGCCATGGTGATGGATTTGCCATTATCGAGAGACTCGACTGAAGCCAGGAGGTCGAGGTTCTTTTCGCAGAGTTCGGCAAGCTTCAGCAGGTAAATGCCGCGCTGTTGGGGGGTGACTCGGCGCCAGGGGCCGTCAAAGGCCTTCCGCGCCGCGGCTACGGCGACATCGACGTCCTTTTCGGTGGCCTCGTGCACTGAGCAGATGACCTCTTCTGTAGACGGGTTGATGACCTCAAACGTCTTCTTTTCGACACCCTCGATGAACTCGTTATTGATAAACCTGAACACCAGTGAGTTTACTTGGGTTGTCCCAGATTACTAAACAATGCGGGGTATGGGACCTACAGTCCGGTGGGTTGCTTGTAGGGGCCGGTAGTCGGCGTCTTGAGGTCGAGGAATACGTTAGACATGGTGGCGAATGACGTAGGTTTTACCGAAGCTTCCCAGGTTCAAGCTCGAGTAAAGTTGGGGGAATAGATGGGGAGCCCAGGGAAGATGGGACGAGGACCCCGCGTGAACTTTATACAAGTGGGAATCCTACAGTAACTCCGTCCGACCTGAATGAATGGAACAAAGAGTGTGTGGCAAGGGGATCCAGGGGCTGGAGGAAATCGCCGACACGGCAATCCACAAATGCTGCTTGTTGATTTCCCCTCTTCCAACGGCCGAGTGGAACGCCATGATGGACGAAACTAGGGGAGGCAAGCGGGGTCGGTGCGCCGAAACGCGTCAATGGGGTGTAACGAACATGACATGGCCGAGGTTCGCCAGTTCTTCCGTTCGTCCCGCGGCGCATCTACATGTTTTCGTAACCCCAGTACTATACCAGCATGCATCCTTACATACATAAGGTACTACTCTGTAGATACAGAAGCAGCACGTTCCTCCCGCAGTGATCCTGTCCCGTCCTCAGTCATTGTTTCCCGAGCATGGTGTCGGTGTGGGTCGGGCCGGTTCATGGTTACCTATCTCCGAAATATGCTGTTGAGGGCCACTACAGGATGGAGAAGGCAGTCTCCATACCCGCAGTTGTTGTGTCCCATGCCCAGTTTCATCGCTCCCGATTTGCGATGACCCCCCTGCTTCCCCGCAATACAGCCGGCAAAGCAGACTTACACACGAAGAGAACCCCACCATGTATGTACGACAAACCGTACTAAGCCGTGTGGAAGCGACCCTGGCCTTGATAGACTGGTTGAGATTGGACATGGCGTTGGTCTGGACCCAGGCTCGCTGGGCTCGTCCAATGCTTTCTTTCTCCGGGACCTGACTTGCTCGAACATGATGATCCGATTAATAAATGCTGTCTCATCGCCGGAGAGCCTCGATTTGGTAATTTCTCAATGCGGGGTTGCGTCATGTTCTGCATACCGAACACCCCGCACGAGAAGGCTTGTTGGTGGACTGAGCTGTTGGGTTAGGGAGGCACCTCGTTTGCCCAATGTGGAACGAAATTCTGAATGATTAGAATTGACACAGCTTATCCGCAAATCTCGGCAAGATACCTACTCTCAACTGCATAGAGACAATTGTGTCAAAGTCTGGCCACCTGCTTATTTTCGACAAGAAATCGGAGTACTTCGTACCTTAATAGTAGGATGGCGGGGATTCGGGGTAATTTGAAGCGAGAGCATCAAGGGCGTAAGAATACGGGAGTTAACTGGGGGGTGATCCTAGGGAAAATAATCGCTTTTGCTGTGCTGCCCTACCAAACGTCCGTATCGGGTCGACCTCGACCGACAACGGCGCCGTGCAAACACCCATATGGATCTTGTGTCGAGCCGAGTTCTCAGTTCCGTGTTCACTGCCAGTTTCCTTCCGTCAATCGGATTCTCTCACTATCATGACGTTTCAACGGCTTTTCTCCGCTCAATGGGTTGGCGTCTATCCTTGTTGAGTCGGGAGAGATTGTGAGGCCTGCTATTTCCTTCCCCTGGAAAGTGTTCCAAGGCAGGTATTTGTTAATGTCTCAGGCCATCGAGTGAAACTATAACATGGTTTTGCGGTTGCGCATCGAGTGTACCTAGTTTTTGATGTTGTTCGTCCAATGTATGGGGATGTGTATCGCCTGGCCTGATAAGAGATAAGCGTTTTGGGGCTGGGAAAGAGGGCTTCGGAGGTCCCAAAAATTTCTCCGACAACCTCCAAGGTTGCTGCTGTACGGGACCCATTGCCGCTCCGAGCTAGAGCGGGAAGTCGACAAATTTGAGCATGACCGTGATGAAAACCGCTAAACGGTGGAACTCGTGAAACTCAATTGATTGTGCCGGCCGTGCTCAGACTCGACTTGCCCAATTGCCCCGCAACCCGAGAATCACCAGCACCGAGAACCTCGATCAGTCGGAATCAACTCAATGAGCCTCGCATCTCTATCTAGCCCACCATGGCCGACACCTCGGAATTAGAGGCAGAACTGCTCGCTGCTTTGGGAGTCTCAGGGCCTGCGACAGAACCGGCGGCAGAGCCTCCACTCAACAGCAATCTACCGACCCAAGGGGCTGCCAACCAGCCTCCATTCCAGCTTCAAACCCAACCTCGACCCCATGAACGACACCCTGCGCAAGGGACAGTTACCGAACCCCCGCGTACACAAACTTTTTCGGCCTCTCCGGTCCCCTCGACCGTTGCGGAGACGCCTACTCCCTCCGTATCGACACCGACTGTTGTCGTGTCCACGACTGTTGCGCCTACTGCTACCGAGTCTGCTACAAATGCGGATACATCTTTGGATACTCTTCTTGCCTCTGCTCTCGGCGCGCACTCCGCTGCGGAGCCGGCACCCAAGATTTCGAGCCCCCCGGTGGCCCAGCATGCCCAGCCGCTCTCTCAAACATCAGTGCCTTCTAGAACCGATGCGGCGCCCCAGAAGCCTGCGCTATCCACGCCGGCCCCTGCCCCGGTACTGCCCTCCCAAGAAATACCCGGGATGCGCTCCCCGAAGCGCCCCAGGAGTCCGGATATCATTGATGAGAATAGCGTTAAGCGGCAGAGGATGGCGGACCAGGCAATGCCGAAGCAGGAGACTACGACTGGGCCTTTGAATGCGAGCATCGACTTCGCGGCCATGCTCAACGATGCGCTTGCCAATTTTGACCAGCACACGCTCCCCGGAGATGGCGATATCGTAATGCAAGATGTCAATGCCGAGCAACCAGCTGCGCCCGCGAGCACGATATCCGACGTTGAAAAGGCCGAGAATAAGATCATGAAGGCGTCTAGCAATCCCTTCTATGTTATGCGCTCCATGAGCCTGCCAGTATTGGGAAATATCGCCGTTCAGATCTTGCTCAGGTTATCGCAACAACCGCGCACCGAAACAGAGTCCCTCTTGGCCGATTCTGGCTCCGAATTCCGCAAGGCCTACGATATGCTGAGGGACATCTTTCGGCCGACGAGAAAAGCCTTTTCTGACTCGCCCCTCCTTTCTCCGGACGAGCTCGATATTACCGATTCCGAAGACCGTGAGACGATACGCATGTCAAACTTGGCCGCCACCGCCGCGAGCGTATTTGGCGCTCATGATGTGGCTGTCCATGACGTGCACGATGCTTTCTTTTCCATCTTCATTCCCGAGGATGGCGAATACAAATCGCCCTTGACCGACCTACTCGTTTCTCTCAAAACCCGCATGTTGCTGGACGCCCTCAACAAGCCCGAGCAGTCCCAACCTGTCTCGCAGCTCCTGGATGCGCTCTTCCCTGTTACTTTTGAGGAATCCTTGAAACAGCGCAGCGGCGATCTGCTTCTGAACCCCGATGAAGAAGGGCTCGTCGCCCGCATTCGGGAGACGAGGGAGCAGCTCGTGAAGAGCGCGGCCGACGAATCTATCAAGAGTAGGTTTCTGCTATGAGTTGACGTCCCTGATCCCGCTGGCTAACTTTCAGTAGGATCCCTCGAGGACCAGTCATCTAGTTTGAAGTTCACCGGGATCTTGAGTACCTTTTTGCAGAGTCATCTCGGTGTCATCGTGGACTATGCAGAGAAATACGGTGTGAATATACCCTTGAATGAGGAGGAAACTGCCCCTGTTCAGGATTCGGGTGGCATTCAGCAACAAGAGGATGATACCTTGGCCGCTCTTCTTCAATCTCACTTCGAACAAACGGAGGGTGACCTCGGGTCGGGGAAGGCCCTTCTTTCCAACGGGACCATCCAAGACCAACTCAGTTCGGCCGACGACGACGCCCTCGCGCTCAAGAAGCTGATTGAAGAATCTCTTTCTGGTCATGTTCCCGATCTAAAAGAGGCGCCGGCGGATTCACATGTTTCGACTGGGCTCCCTGATTTCGGTTCTAAGGATTTAGCGTCCTTGATATCGGAGAAACTGAAGAGCGAACTCGAGATTCCGACCCACGGGTTTTCGAATCAACCCCCGGCGGCGCACGCGGCTAACACCGGTAAGAGGCCTTACATTGTCATATGCATTGCCAAAAGTCTAACTCCATGTACTAGGTGTGCATTCTCAATACATGGCCCAGCTAAACCAGAACCACGTTTCGCCCTACCAAGCGTACAACCAGAGCTCAAACCCACCACCGCCAGCTGCAGCGAACGGCGACGGTTTACCGCCCAACCAGTCGATGCCCACAGCTGCCCTGTACGAAAAGGCCCGCCAGGCAGCCGTGGCCAAATCTTCAAACACCACGCGCCGCGAAGGCCTGCACTCTACGAGGCGGCCGTGGACGCCTGAAGAGGAGAAGGCTCTTATGGCCGGGCTGGACATGGTCAAGGGACCTCATTGGAGCCAGATTCTCTCGCTCTTCGGGCCCCAAGGAACAATATCCGATATCTTGAAAGATCGGACGCAGGTCCAGCTAAAGGACAAAGCGAGGAACCTGAAGCTTTTTTTCCTAAAAACCAACTCCGAGATGCCTTATTACCTACAAAGTGTAACAGGGGAGCTGAAGACGCGGGCACCGGGCCAGGCAGCTCGCAAGGAGGCAGAGGAGAAAGCGCGCATGAACGTGGAAGAGGAAAGGGCGAGAGTTCAGGGCATCATAACCCTGGCAGGCGGTTTGCAAAACAACCACCATTCCGTCCCCAACACCCCGCTCGCCGCCTCCTCGCCGAAGCGGGCCAGCCCCGGCACCCCTGGGTTTGTAGGAATGGGCGCTGGCTCGAACTCGAATACCGCACACATGGCAGCCGGGAATGGTGCCGCGATACCAGCGATGCAAGGCCAGCCCCGGATCAAAACCGAGCTGCCTGATCAACACTCACTGCACAAGGTCACGGCATTCCCTCCCATTCAGCCGGCCCCGGCTCCAGGCCCGGCCATACAGCAAGCGAAAGCTCCTTTGCCGGCTCTACAGCCTCAACCGGGCCTGCAGCAGCAGCCGAGGCCACAGGGCCAGCAACAATATCAGCAGCCTCAGCCTCAACAGCCGCGCCAGCAGGAATTGCCAAGGACGCCGATGCCAACGCAACATCAACAGCAGCAGCAGCAACAGCAGCGCCAACCACTCCCGCAGCATCAACAGCAGGCGCAACAGCAACCCCAGCCCCTGGTCCAACCGCAACACCAATCACAGCCGCATCAACAAGCGCGGCCACTTCCACCCACTCAGTCCAGGGCTCAACCGCAAGCGGTGCCTCAACCTTCGGCGCCGCAGAAAACACCCTCACAGCACCCCTTGCCGCAGACGCAGCAACAGCCTCGCGTTTCTCCCCCCACCGCCCAAAATCAGCCCCTACCCACGCCGCCCATCCCGCCCAACCACCACTCGACGCCCGATCACGCGCAAGACGCCAAGTTGTTCGAGACGTTGCAAGCTGCCATCGCTGCGTCAGCGGCCAACGAACCCCACGCCCCACTCGCGACGGCGGTATCAGACGGCTCGACTGCTTTGAACTAGGGGCGGCATTCTAGTGCGTACTGGCGCCGTTCGTGAACATACTTACGGATGTGTGTAGTTCTTTTGATTCTCGGCACGGGCTGTATAAGGTTACGACCAGGGACGGGTACGTGGTCGGGAGAGATGCGTGATATGAAGGAGGGATATGGTGGGGATAGAGGTTCGTTCTGGCGGGAACATGACCCCGGCGTTCATTGTTTGTTTATCTAGTGTTTTACTTTTGGGTTGTTGTAAATAGCCTAGCACGGCACAGCGTAGCATACCACGGCATCTTGCGGCGTCTTCGTCTTTCTTCGGCGGCGGCCAGCTCGCGCTCTCGGATGAGGCAGCACGGGGGGTTCGCTTATTTCACTTTTAGATGATACCATGGGATGGGCGCTGGCTCTGATAGAAGATTCAACGAAGACATGGCTTTTTGTTGCGCAAGTGTTGGGGTTGAGTGAGGCCGGTGTATGTATGGGAATAATGTGATTCCGACTTTGGAATGACTGGGGAGGTGGCCAGTATCTCGGTGAGCCGTGGAGGTTCAAGGAACAATCTATCAATGATATTGAGAACTTACAACTGCCGATACATAAAGTCTTTCCTCAACCAGATTGACAATCCCTTTTCCCTCAGCAAGAGACTTTGTTCCATCTCTACAACAACCACTAACTCACCTCAGCTACCTCTCACGCCATTGCCCCCTCCACAATGCCCTTACATATCTGGCCAACAGTCTCGATCTTGTCATAACAAGTTAGCACACGCCAATTGAATAATCAGAGGGCGAGGAAGAACAACAGAAGAAGAAAAAGAAGAAAAGAAAGAAACTCACCATCGAAAAGTCCAAAAACATCCCACTCTCCACCTCCGCCCGACACACCTCCAACCCTGGAACAAACTTGCCCCAACCACCACCAGCAGCCCCCTCGTCAGCAGCACCAACACCTTCCCCACGCGCAAGCACCTGCACCGCAACCTTGATCCGGCCCGCCGCCTCCACCGGCAACGGCACTAACCCCAACCCCTTCCCATCCTCGTCTTCACCACCACCACAATCCATCAACACCAACACATCCACCGCCTCCCCGGCCCCCACCAACAGCCCCCGCGCCACTTCATACGCCAACCTCGCGCCCATCGCCCCCGCGCCCGCCAGCATGTACGGCCCCGCGGGCTGCTCGGCGCGTATCGCAGCCGTGGCTGCGGCGGCCGCCGCCGCGAGAAGTAGTTCGGGTTCAGGTTCCATGTCCGTGTCCGTCTCCGTGTTGGGGTGGTGGAGATGAGGGAGATGGGGTACATCGACGCCATACACGCCTAGGTCGGTGCCTAGCGGCGGGAGGGCGATGTACGCGAAGGAGGAGCCCGTGTCGTCGGGGAGGAAGAACAGGTTGGGTGTGGTCGGGGTGCGCGGGCCTTGGTAGTGGGTTGTTTGTGCGGTTATGGTGGGGAGGCGGGGGGGGTCTTGTTCTTTGTCGGCGGCGGCGGCGGTGGTGTTGGTGGGGAGGAGGAGGCTGGCTTTGGTTAGATCGGGGGTGGGCGGTGTGTTCGCGCTGTCGCCGTCGTCGGCTGGTTCTGGGGCGGTCGATGCGACGGAGTTGCAGGGTCCTCGCTGTGTCGTAGTGGGACGTGCTCGGAACATCGTGACTAAGGAGTGCGGTTTTGTGAGGCTCGAGTCCCGACTCGCGCTCCGCTTCTGTTCGACTGATCCGCCTGCATCGTAGTTTGGCGCTAGGCTCGCTAGATGGGCTTAGCAAAGAGGTAATCAAGCCTGCCCATGGTTTTCC